GAGGAGGAGGAGATGCCCGAGGAGGAAGAGGAGGAGGCGATGAAGGAGGGTCGGGCGCCCGTGCCGGCGCCGGCGGCTGCCAAAAAACCGGAGGAGAGGAGCAAGAAGCAGCAGTGCAAGAGCCTGGTGGAGCCAACGGGGACGGGTATGGTGAGGTGGGGGTCTCTGGGGCAGGGGGGGACACCCGTGGGGCAGCCTGGCAGCGGTGACGGGGCCTTGTGCTTCACAGATCATGGCCCCCCAGGGAAAAGGCCGGAGAGCAAACCCCGGGTGCCCGTGCGCTACTGCACCCTGGGCACCCGCGACTCCGCCAGGTAGGGCACGATGGGGACGGGGACACCAGCCCCCCAGGGGTGACCCCGATGGCCCCGTGGGTGCAGGGTGGTGGTGGGGACACAGGGGTGGCAGCGGGGCTTGGGCTCTTCCAGGAACCCCCAGACCCTGGTGGAGGTGACGTCCTTCGCCGCCATCAACAAGTTCCAGCCCTTCAACGTGGCCATCTCCAGCAACGTCCTCCTGCTCCTGGTGCGTCCTCTCCCTGGGGTGGTGGGGGGGGGGAGGGACAACACGACACAGATTGGGGCTGGGGACATCTGCAGGGTGTTGGGGAGGTTTCCCCCAAGGTCATTTTGGGAACAAACCGTTGATTTTAACCTTTTCCTTTAGGATTTCCACAGCCACCTGACGCGGAGCGAGGTGGTGGGCTACCTGGGTGGGCGGTGGGACACCAACACGCAGCGTAGGTAGCCGGGTTGGGGGGTGGGTAGGTGGCCCCCCCAGCCCTTTAGGGAGCCACCCACCCCTCTGTGTGTGTGTGTGTGTGTGTGTGTGTCCCTCCTCCTCGCAGTGCTGACGGTGCTGAGAGCCTTCCCCTGCCGGACCCGCCTGGGAGATGCTGAAGCCGCCGGTGCCGTGGAGGAGGAGGTAAAGCTGGGTTTGGGGGGGGTCTGGGAGGGTCTTGGGGGTCCCCAACTGTTGCGGAGGGAGTGATTAACTTCACTAGTTAGAGTGAAGCAGTGAAATATTTATTAAGGTGAAACAGTGATTTAACAAAACCAGTAGTAAGTGCGATAAAACCAGTGGTAAATGCGATAGTGTTTGACGAGATTCGATGTCAGGGCACACTCTATTATTTACTGCAGAGAGGACAGGGTCAGACAGAACTGTCAGGGAGACCCTCCCGTTGAGTCACGAGGTTCAGAAAGGACCCCCTTTCTTTCTAAACTCCTCAGAGAGGAGTCTAGATGCAGCTGGATCCAATCCTAGTCAACGTTGACTTGGTCAACGGTTTATGTCTAAAGGATTATATCTGCACAATCAATCCTTTACATTACTTAGATAAAATTTCAAAGATGAGCATGCTATGAGTCACTTACCAAGAATCTGTTGCGGCAAGGAATCATAGAATCATAGAATCATTCAGGTTGGAAGAGACCCTTGGGATCATCGAGTCCAACCATCTCCCCTACTCTACAAAGTCCTCCCCTACACCATGTCCCTCAGCACTGCATCTAAACGGCCCTTAAACACAGCCAGGGATGGGGGTTAAATTTCAGAAAGTATTTGTTTTTCAAATGCTAAGTTTTATTCTCTAGAATAAAACCCCCTCTTTGTGCAGGGCAGTGTCAAATGCTTTGCACAAGTCCAGGCAGATGATTTCACTGAATTTCTAGAGTTGGAAGGGACCATAGAGGTCATCTAGTCCAACTCCCCTGCTGAAGCAGGATTGCCAAGAGCTAGAGCATGTTACTCAGGACTGCATCCAGGCCGGTCTTGAAAATCTCCAAAGAAGGGGGCTCCACACCCTCCCTGTGCAGCCTGTCCCAGGGCTGTGTCACCCTCACCGTGAAGAAGTTTCTCCTCATATTTGAGTGGAACCTCTTCTGTTCCAACTTGTGCCCGTTGCCCCTCGTCCTCTCACTGGGAACCACTGAAAAGAGTCTGGCTCCCTCCTCCTTCAACCCTCCCTTGAGATACTTGTAGGCATTGATAAGGTCTCCCCTCAGCCTTCTCTTCTCCAGACTAAAGAGTCCCAGCTCTCTCAGTCTCTCCTCATAAGGGAGATGCTCCAATCCTTGAATCATCTTTGTTGCCCTTCGCTGGACTCTTTCTAGTAGTTCCCTGTCCCTCTTGAACTATTTTTGACTCTGCTGCCAGCCATCCCCCAGAGAAGGGGTGCAAGTTCTCACAGCTGCTGTTGTGATGGCCGTGGTGGCCAAGGCCGGGCAGGAGCCAAGAGGGGCAGGGGTGGGGGGCAAATCAGGGAGAGGACACAAACCACACCGACCCACGGGATCTGCCCCTCACAGATCTGCCAGAGCCTGTTCCTGCGGGGGCTGTCGCTGGTGGGCTGGTACCACAGCCACCCCTTCGGCCCCGCGCTGCCCTCCCTGCACGACATCGACGCCCAGATGGATTATCAACTCAAGCTCCAGGGCAGCGGCAACGGCTTCCAGCCCTGCCTGGCCCTCATCTGCGGTAAGAGACACCCCCCACACCTCCTCCCTGGGGGGGGCTGGGGGCTGCTGTCACCCCTCCTGTATCAGCCCCATGTGTGTGTGTCCCCCCAGGACCCTACTATCACGGCAACCCTGGCGTGGAGTCCAAAATCGCGCCTTTCTGGGTGATGCCACCACCGGAGGTGAGTGGTTGCCTCTTTGGGGGGTGTGGGGGTGACCCCATCTGTGACCCCAATGACCCCAGTGCTGTGGGGTGACCCCCCCCTCTCGATCCTCCATCCTCCAGCAACGGCCCAATGACTACGGCATCCCCATGGACGTGGAGGTGGCCTACATCCAGGATGGCTTCCTCACCAACGATGTTCTGCAGGAGATGGTGAGTGTGTGGGGAGGGGCCAAAAACACGGTCCACCCCAGCAAGGACAACTCCCTGACCCCATAGGGGGCTGGCTGGGGGTCCACCACCCATCCCCATCCTGCCGTTAGCCCCGGTGACAGTGACAGGGTGACAATCTCTTCTCCATCCCCACCATGCTGCCGAGGTCTTGGTGCCACAGGGGTGGGGGGGCTCGGGGGCAGC